ATGCTCTAGGTTAGTGGGAACCAACCTTTCTAGCATGTGTGCCATAAGCTAAGCACCAGACCCTCCCCAAGTGCCATTCCGATCCAATTCTTCTGTTCCATCTGCTGCTCTCATTTCTGCTGCCTTTCTCCCTGCTCTCTCCTTGATCTGCTACATACAGAGGCTGCCCATGCCAGTTGTGGCACATGTGCCACATGTTAACCACCTGTCCACCTCTGTCCTAGAATCCTAATGAAGTGATCGTAAAACTTCGCAGCCCTGGAGGCCATCACAGTGTGCATTACAGGTGGAACTAAGAGACCGAGCAAATACAGCAAGTCTTATTTATAAGACTAAACAACAGCAGAAAATGTCTGAAATGTTTCAGTGTACTTTTTAACTTTTGCATTAATAAAATGTGCAACAGAAAGTATATACTGAATGATTCCATATGCATGTACTCCTTGATCTGAAAGCCTGTCAGGAACTTCTTTAGTCATCCATCTAAAAACAACTGTAATTTGTAATTAAAGCAAAGCAGGGGCAGATAGGCATTGAGGGCTTGATCCCAATGTAAACGGAACATTTCTGCAAGGTGCTGAGCACTGACCTTTCACTGAAACTACTAAAAAGTAAAGGTGCTTGAAACTGCAATATTAAGTGCTATCAACCCATCAGATACTTGCACCTGTTATATGCACCAGATAGCACATATCACTTCACAGAAGACATCTCTTCTTCAATCACCTAATTTCATCCCCATTTTTCCATTTTATTTTCTGATAAAAATGCAAAAGGGAACAAGACTCTTCTAGTAGTAAGACAAACATATGGAGAGGAAAAATGAGTCTCAGAACACTGACTACAGCTGGAGGCAAGATCCATTCTAGAAATATCAGCTGAATTCAGGGGAAGAAATTTGCTACCAAGGCAACTCTAATAACCAGGTAACTGCATGTGCAAAGATCTCTGTACATGCAAGAGATATGACTGCCAATACACTACAACCTCATTATTACAAACCCACATGGAACTGGGAGAAAAGGTCATTAAAAGAGGGTGTTCACTATACTAAGAGCAGTTAATTTGCTATATCATAATAATAAATAAATTGGTGTTTGGATTGTTAAAAGCAAAGGCTTGTTATAATCAGGCTTGCTGTAATGAGGTTGTACTGTATTGCTTCCACAGTTAAGGAGTCCTGCTGAAAATATGTCCCCCTAAGATGCTGAACAGAACACCTTTGTGGTAGATCTACTCCAGCAGTTCTCAACCTTTTCAGACTCAAGGGACCCCTCATTAGACTCAAGGCATACTCAGAAAATGCCAGCTCCTAGTTTTCACTCATTTTTTTACTACAAAAAAAAATAACAGAGCAATTTTTCTGTTTCAAGGAACTCAAAAGAGGGAGGTCAGACTGTTTTTAACATGATGGATTCCTATTTGAAAAATCTGGGTATGTTTTGTGAATCAGATTTATGTGCCTAACACTGCTAACAATTCATGTCACCCCACAACACCCTTGACAGGATCTCAAGCCACCCTGTGGGGCAGCAGCACCCAGGATGAGAATCAGCTTTAACCCAAACAGTGTAAAGCAGGGCAAAGTAGAACAGAGCAGAGTAGTAGTGATCTCCTTCAGTGCCCAGCACACACAGAGGGGAAGGGATTATGCAGACCACTGGATTGCTGTGATGGACTAGGGCACAGTCAAACTTATCCATGCTCTCTGCCTCAAGCAGGACCTGCTACTGCTGTGGTTGCTGGTGTGCCAGCTGCAGCTGCCAGGGAGCCCGGGGGTTCCCTTCATTCCTCCTCCCCACCCACATGCACCACTGGGTGCAGGTCTGTGCCATTCCCTGTGGGAGTGCCATTTTGCTCAACTCCCTGCCCACCAGATACACTACTGAGTCGTGTAGGTGCAGGGTTGTGCCTCTCAGCTCTTATGACTGAGCAGCTCAGGACTATTCCTGAGGGTTTTTTTCCCCACCTCTACATTCAGAGAGGAACTGGATTAGCTAATTAACATGAGGGTTCCTTCTGAATCATGTACATTTCTAACTATGCAATACTGTACTCCTGAAAATCCCAGAGATAGTTTATCCTCTCCTGCTCTATGGTTAAAGAAAAGAATAGAGAACATACAATGATTTTACAAAACTTAACCCCTGCTTAACTCCCCCCTTTCACACTGTCCTAAAAACTGAACTGCCTGTTTCCAACACTAGGGCAGCAAGCCTCTGAAGCAAGCCTTCCAAAACTTTTCCCCTACTGACAAAATTAAACCATTTTAACTGTGTCAGTATTGAGAAATGTTCGTTTAGTTTTCTTGAAAGTACTACAGTGTCCCTGACCTTCCTCTTTGACTGCTGTCCGCCACAAAGCTCTTGCTCTGTATTTCAGAGGCTTTTTACCTCCATTTAGGGCTTGTTAGCCAGTAAATGCCACGTGTTAAGTGCTATTTCCTACAGCTGTCAATCTGTGCAAAAGGAGCAGCCTTTGAACTTGCAATTTGCTCTGCCTCTCAAAGGGGACTGCTGAAAAAAAGAAGCTATTACTCAAACCAATATGATCAGGGACCAGAAAAAATAATCTGTTCAACAAGCCTACATTTCTCAGTCAGAATAAGAGGAGGGAATAGTCTTAGAACCCAAATTCTTTCAGTTTTACTACTTACAGTTTCAATGGGGAAAAAAAAACAGCATGTGTCAGACTTAAGGAACTTGTCGAGTGCAGTCTTTGTTACTTCCGTTGGCTCAGCTCACTGCAGACAACCCGGATCCCCTCCAGTGTTCAATGGGCGCTCCTCCCTGCCACCTTCCACTGCAGGGATTTGGTGCAACACACCCTTCACCTCCCCGCATGGTAGAAACCCAGTGCATGCCCCCAACTGCTTCCTTCCCCTGATGCCAGGCTCTCTGTGTGCACTCTCACCTCAGGGCCCCCCCTTATTCAGGGGCGGGCAAAGTCCAGCCCACAGGCCGGATCCAAGCCAGCAGCCAGGCTCCATTTCCCAGCAGCCCCTACCCGCATGGCTGGGGCCAGTTTCCATGGAGACCATGATCAAGAACAGCATTTCTCAACCCATGTGTCACGACCCAAAAGCGGGTTGCAAAAATGTATCAAAAGGGTCATGAACAAAATTAAAAAATTGATTCTCCTTCAAAGGAGAAAAACTCAGGAAAACATGGCTTTTCCCTTGCAGGCTGGCAGACATCCAGCCTGCAAGGGGCTGCTTAGGGCCCCCCATGCCCCACATCCCTCCACCCCACAAACAAGGGGGCTGGGGCCTGGGGGTGGGGGCAGCAGGTCAGGAGAGAGGGGCTCTGGGTCAGGACTGGCCAGTGATGTTTACAAATGGGTCCTGGTACAAAAAAAGGTTGAGAACCACTGAGCTCGAGGACAAGTTATTAGGCTGCCTACACGTTAAAGCAGTGATTCGCAACTGGGGTGCTGAGAGGTGCCATACCACCCGGTCCCTGTGTGAGGAGGTAAATGCTTTCCTCCCCTATTCAGTGAGTGACCTGTACTTGCCCCAGCCACTGCCCCAATGCTCCCAGCAGTGGGCTCTGCTGTAGGTGGCTAGATGCATGAACAGACCCATGCTTTGCAGCCTGGCTTGACCCCTCCACTCCTGCCAAACTCTTGGGGCCAGTGCAAGGGGCTGTAGGGGAGCTTACTGGCATGTGAGACCCTACAGGATCAATCTCTGCAGCAGGGACTGCCCTTGCCCCTCAGGTACAGAGGGATGGTGGTGGGGAGGAAGTAGGGGAGGCAGACAGTGTAAAGAGCAGGGCACTGCAGGGTCAGGTCCTGGCCCTGTGGCTCTTACCTGGCACCATCTAGATCAGTGGTTCTCAACCTTCTTAGCCTCAAGATTCCCCATCGTATCTTTTCTAAATTTAGATTTAGCTTAGTCATTCTCAACTGGGTGCCAAAAATTTCAGAAAAAGAGAAACACCGTGTTAAATCACTGGAAGGATGGGCAGAAAAGAGGGGGAGAACTGTTGTAATGGAAGGCATTAGTAAGCAACACCAACTTGTTCTTTGATCTACAGCAGGGGCACTACAGATCCAGGCCCCAGCACCATGTCATCTGGCTCATGGGGCTTCCCATGAACCTGAGAGGAGCCCACTGGGTCATGGCTCTATGCACTAGATGGGGGTGCAGGATGGCATGGGGTCCAGTGCCAGTGTGCAGGGCCAGGCAGAGGCTGAGCACAGGCATGGAGCCCTGATCCCAGCAAGTGGGACTAGGTGGGGGCAGTGCAGAAGCCCAGGGCCTGATCTCTCCACATGGGACTGGGTGGGGGCAATATGTGGTCCCAGGGCCCCAGGGTTTGATCCTGTTATGAAGGGCCAGATGGAGGCAGCTAGAGGCTGTGGAAATCAATCACTGTGCATTGGGGGGGACACCCAAAGTCATACAGGTCCTGATCCATTCATGCAAGTCTGATCCTGTGGCCTGGGGTCTGATCTAGCCCATGGGACCAGCCCCGCATCACTCATCTGGCTTGTGGGGCCAAAAGGTTGAGCACCACTGATCTGTAGGTAGGGATATGGCTGAAACTGTGACTCTGTTGAACAAACAGAAGCAGCTTTCTCCAGTTCACCCTCCCCTCCCCACTGCTGGAAAGGCAGGTAAGTGCATGGGTGTGTGCAAGACATGGGGGTTTACGTGGCCCTAAATTGAAGTGGAGTTTTTAAAAACCCACTGCTTCACTTTAAGGCCCCCGTTTTGTCTACCCACGCCCAAAAATACTAAACATAAAGAGGGCGTGTGGAACATTATTTATTATATGTATGCTTTGCTTAACTCAGGATAAGAACTTTATATGCCTTCAGGTATTGTACAGGCATGAAGATATATTCTACACTTACTTCTTATTTATCAAATTTTTCAGTTACATTGAGTTGGGTTAGATTGTCTTCTTTCTGTTTGGGTTTTTTTTAATATTTCAGAAAGTTTATTTTTGGTTTAAAGCTACTGTAACATTAGAATGCAATAAAAATGTACTTACCATCAACAAAACTTGGAAATGAAGACACCTTCTTTGTCTGTTAGGAGACAAAAATAATGCACCATAAAACTGTATGAACACAGCAAAATCAATTTCATGACATAAAGGATAACTTGTATAATATTAAAAATATTAAAACTTCATTAATATAAAGTATAATTTTAAAACATTTTAAATGTTAAAGTTTTGCATGCCTGCTAATAGGAAAGTATATTTCAAATCCTATAATATTGTAATAAGATAACCAAGGCCTTACAAAGAGCTTTTTCATAAATAGATCTCAAAACATTTTATGATGCAATTCAGCCTCACTGACCATGTAGGCTGGAGACAGGGCAAACAGCAGGGAAGCAGCCTGCCCCACCCTGAACCTTGCCTCCCTGCCATTTAGCCTGTCTTCTGCCTGCATCCCAGTTGGAGCGGGAGCTGCCACCACCGCTGCTACTGCTGTATGGCCACGGAGGACTGGAGCCATTATGTGCTCCATGCCCCAGAGCAGAGCGGGACTGGAGCTGGAGTCAGATCCCCAACAAATGTAAGGAAGCTACAAGGAAGTGGGGAGGGTTGGGAGGAACAGGGAAGGCAGCCGGGGGGGGGGGGCAGGCAGGGGAAGCAGAGGGTGAGGGGACAGGTAATGGTGGTGGGGGCAGTGGCTGCAGGTCCAACTCTGACCCTGATCCCAGATTGGGGCAGGAGTTAGAGTTGAAGCAGCTGCCTGCCCGCTCCCACTTTGACTCAAATCCAAGGGGCTTTCTTTGCCCAAGTTGAATGAAGCATTCCCTTTGCAGCATCTGCTGCTTGCCAGCATGTGCAGAGATGTGACCCTTGGCAGGGAACGAGTTGCAAACAGCAGCCCACAATGACAAAAGTTTGCTAACCCCAGGCAGTTCCCAAAGGTTTTTAGGCAGACGCAACAATGCCAACACTTAAAATATTCAAGGAACATGATGGTCCTTTATCACCAAAATTTTAATCAAAAAGACTATAAAGACACACGTAGTCCAGTGTGATCCATGAACTGGCTGCAGACCTTTACAAAGCACATGAACCATAGTTTGGGAACTACTGCACTAGACAGCACTGCCTATCATCCACCTTATTAATTTTGCTCATCTGCAATCATATTTTTTAAAACCTAAACATTCTCTCCAAAGCTTTATGGAACTCTAGTGGAACAATAAACTATTTCTGTGTTGGTACAGCACTTATTACAAGCCCTGATTTTAGCTGGGGCCTCCAGGCACTACTTTAATACTACTACCTGCTGGTTATTTGACCAGCAATATCTCCCATACAGGAGTTGATTTCATTACTGATGAGCAGGGATCCTGGTTTTCTCTGACAAGAAAAAATAAAATAAATCACATATTCTCTGACAAAACTTCACAAATTCTCTGCTTAAAAATCCAAAATCCGTAATTAAAATGAAAAGCCACTATATATATAGGTATCAATTGACCACAACGTTTTATTGATATATTTACAATTTTAAAGCAATTTGGAAGTCTACCAGTGGTTCAATCGCTATAATAAAATAAATCCTAAATAACTATAAATTTTGGTATTTGATTTTTGTTGTTTTATCATCGAAAACTCGTAGCTCCCTCTGCCCCCTCAGCTCATGAGGATGCAGGTCCAGGGCCCTCACTTCCAAGCTACAGGTCCCCAGCTTTGCTACTGCCCCTCACTCCCCAGCCACAGCCCTCCAGGCCTGCTAGTACCCTTCACCCCCCACCTCCAGCCCTGCTGATGTCCAAC